CCTCTGCCCTGTACCCCACCTCTGCAGAGTCCCCCGCCCTGTATCCCAACAGCATCCAGAATCCCTCATCCCACTCTTCTGCCACCCCCCCATTCTGATCCTCTGCCATGCTCCCACCTTGCTGCCTCAACAATACCTCCCCATAGCTCCTCTTTCCCCATCTGCCCAGGCCCCACCACCTCCCCAGGGACCCCCCCTCACCCTCTGCCATGCACCCCATCCCACCCCTCACCCTACCCATTCACCACACCCTACTGGCAGCCCCCCACCCCACAGTAGTACCTCTGCAGATCCTTCTGGAACCTCATGCTCTGTGGTGGGGAGGATGGGGATGGGAGATCTACCCCCCAACCCCAAATACCCTGAAACTGGCAGACTTCTGTTGTCTGTAGTGGTGCAGGTGGTGGGAGCCATGGACTCCGCTGGCTCCTTCGAGGGCGGGGCATGACCCTGGCCTAGAGTCCACTTCATGCTCATACAAAGTGGATGGGGGAATATCTGCATCACTAGTGCTGTGGCAGGGTGCTGTGTTTTGCCCCAGGGGATGGTCCACATGGAAGTATGCTTCTGCTCTGGGGTCTGTACTGCTCTGTTATAGTACTGATGAGCCTCCAGCAAAAGGCCTACCTCATGAGATCCATTCTGGATGTGAATTTTGTAGGAATCTCAGAATTTGTGGACTCTACGTTGCCCTCGGTGTATGACCTCCCATTTATTTCTCTTGCCCATACATGTCTGTGATAGACGTATAGGTTTATGAAGAGAAAATCTCTTTGCTGCTGCTTTTGCAGGTGAATACAGCTATCTTCACCCCACTGGGCTCTGTTCCATCCCTCTGCTTTAGACCCAAAGGGCTGATTCTAAGGTGACTTTGGAATTGGTAAACACAAGCACCTGCCTACCAGACACATGAACTGGGACACACAACTCAACTCCATACTGACTGCAACTGACAGCAACGTGGCTAAAATAAAGGCAAGTTCAGATGCATTGTCATCTCTCAGTTGTTACTTAGACTCTCACTTCAAGAGAGTCCTGTTTAAACAAATGATGGATCCCTTGATTCCTTGAGCTATGACAGTAGCATTGCTGTAGGTGCAGTCACTAGATAGCTGCTTTGGCTGGTATTGTAACTGTTGCAGAGTTCCCTTCCTTAAAGGCTGATTGAATGTTTCATGCTGATAGCTGGATTCAGTTGATAAATGACTTTCACACAGGTCTTTCAGTGCTAGACTGGAGATATCAAGGTTCCAGAATCCCTAGAAGGGATGAAAATGGAAACACTTCTGCAAATATTTCAAGGATGTAAATAGCAGGGAGGGGGAATGAGTCTTTGGGATGATCAAAGGCTCTGTAAGAGAAAAGGGATGAAATGGGATACAGCATGGATAACATACAACTGAGAGGAAGCACCTAATCCCTATGTAATAGGCAGCTTCTAGAATTTGATAGGTGTCCACTGTTTGCTAACATAACAGTCTGGTTACTTTACCAAAATAAAATCTACTTCCCTGTTTACTGCAGATACATATGGAAATTATGTTCTCAAGGTCTTCAGTGAAGAGAGATTCTCTTTTCTTCCCCAAGAAAGTTGAATCCTTTGTTGAGAGGCATTATTCTATCAACTCTGCAGAACCTTTGTTACACAACAATTCAGAGGAAGGGGCGTGCTGTTCTGGATTAGATGCAAGTGGCCTTGCTGCAATCTTTGCCCTGTAAGAGCAGGGATTGACATGGCAAGGGAGTCAGTTTGTGGATAGTATGAAGTGCAGCTCTGAGCTGTATTATTTTATTGTTAGAACCAGGGGAGAGGGCTGTGCGATAGGAAAGGCAAGCAGTAACATTAGGAGTCTAGTGCTTAGGAGTCTAGTGCTTAGCATGGGGGAACTGTGCTTTGGGATTGCTGAGTTCCATTCCCATCTTTGCCCCTATTTCCTGTTTGGATGAATATCTGAACTATTTTTTTCCTCCATTCTCACCCATCTATGAAATGGAAGTTTATGGGCTATAGAGGGTGCTAGAGGTACACATATTGTTTTAAAACTACCGGGCTGTGTCTAGACTGGCATGATTTTCCGGAAATGCTTTTAACGGAAGAGTTTTCCGTTAAAAGCATTTTCGGAAAAGAGTGTCTAGATTGGCACGGACGCTTTTCCGCAAAAGCACTTTTTGCAAAAAAGCGTCCGTGCCAATCTAGACGCGCTTTTCCGCAAAAAAGCTCCGATCGCCATTTTTGCGATCGGGGCTTTTTTGCGGAAAACAAATCTGAGCTGGCCCTTTTGCGCAAAAGTTTTGTGCAAAAGGACTTTTGCCTGAACTGGAGCAGCATAGTATTTCCGCAAGAAGCATTGCTTTCTTACAGTAGGAAGTCAGTGCTTTTGCGGAAATTCAAGCGGCCAGTGTAGACAGCTGGCAAGTTTTTCCAGAAAAGCGGCCTATTTTCCGGAAAAACTGGCCAGTTGTGACACAGCCCTGGTGCTGCTCCTAAGTAGTCAGTCAAGGTGGAAGGGACCCACTTAACTCTGCAATTTTAGCCTTGCTAGAGATCATACAGAGCTTGAGGAATGCTGGTTACATTTTACCAAGCTTGATAATTATTCTGATGTACCTAATTTGTCTCTCATACTTAAAAAAAAGTATTTTCTGAACATTTTTCATAGATGTAAAAAGTCAGAAGGGGGACTGCTTTGATAATCTAGTTTGATTTCTTGTATAACACAGACCATAGGATAGCCCTGAATTCCTGTTTCAACTATTTTCCCCCCTGCATTTGCCCCACATACCTCACCCCGCTGCTTCCCTGTCCACTCCTCACTTAATCACTGCTGTGGCAACTTATTGAGGGGTCCCCATTGAGAACAAGAGGGCACTTCCTAATCTTTAATGTTAACACCCCATTCTGCTTTGATTTGAAGAAAGATCCTCTGTGAAAAGCAGTGAGAGGTACCCTACCATACCTTTGTGTGTGTGCAATTGACCCTTTGTGTGAACATGTGAGTGTTGGTGTCTTTACCATGTAATGTGGTTTCTCTTTCTCTTTTACAGCAGCGTCTGAGCACGACAAGCATCTCTTCCAAAGGTAATAACCTGTTTGTCTCAAGTATTTCCAAAAGCACTTGCTACTAGGGATGTGACTGGTTAATTGGCAAGAATCACCCTTACCAGGTGATGCTTACTGGTTCGGGTTAACCGGCCAGACTGGAGCAGCCCTCTGCCCAGCTCATGCCCCAGCTGGAGCAGTCCCCACCCATAGCAGCCCAGGCCCCGCCTGCCCCCTTTTAAGCAGTTAACCAGTTAAACGTAACACTTAGTTGGTTATCTGATTAAATGGGATTTTACATCTCTACTTGCTACAGTAGCATTGAGGTTCTGTAGAAAAATCCATTGCATTGTACAATCATGTGTTGTTGCAGTGTCTTGAAAGGATGATTAGACCTGTCTTTAGCTTGATTTTCTAAGAGCTGTAGGTGCCCTGGATTTAAAATCCAGGCAGCTTCTGTAACCTTGTAGCAAAGCAATGGCCATTTCAAGCCCCTGTTATTGGAGACTGGTTATCTGTACAGCAGTTCCAGAGTGGACAGACCTCCTTGTTCTCATGACTATCCATGTGATTGAGTAGTTCAAGCAGAGATAAGAAATAATCTAGTTTCTGCTTTTTACAACTGCAGTTTGGCCTTTCCAAGTTTCCTGTCTTGGGCACTAGCTGAGGCAAGTTTAATGCTGTGGCAGACAAGTCGATTCCCTTCCCTGCCCCCCTGATAACTCCAGTTGCCTTTGATCTCTTAGTGGATTTGCTGCTTGACAGAATTAACACTGAGAACGTAGCATTTGATGAGTCTCTGGCTGGATCTCGGCAGCTGTGTCCTACCTGCCCAAATCTTCCACACTGTAAGATGGCAACAGAGGAGCTTTCAGCCATCAGCAGTCAACTGCTTTCTCAAGCTAAGGTAACTACAGAGCTCCAATGACATTAGCCCTCTCCACTAAGGGGAAAGAGACAAGTTTCACTAGTGAGCTTGAAATACATACAACTTCCTTTGGATGCCCTGCACTGTGAAGATTCTTTCTGTCACATGTTGGGAAAAGCCTGTTGGTCTTTGAGACAGCTAGGAAGGTTTTCACATGAAGATTTGAAATATTCCCTTCTCTCTCCATCACCTTGGTTCAGAGTGTTGCTTCTGGAGCATCCCTGGTTCATGCCAAGCCATGGCTGAAGCTGCAGGGACCTTTCACATGGCCTGTGAAGCAAAGTAACCTGCTAGGATCATTTATTTATCCCTTTGAGTGCTGAGTCTTCTACACTGTCCCTCATCACAGCCTTGATCTTTCCAACAAGGAGGGTCAGAGCGCGTTCTGTGGGAACCCTGCTATCCTGCTCAGATGAATGCAGTTGCTTTAGAATCCGTCTGTTGGTGCCCCACCACATTCCCAGCTTCTGAAACTGACCTAACTTGCACAAAGCAACTGAGTTAGTCCCTGCACTAAATTATTTCCAAGTGAGACTTGTTCTCGTCCTGCTCTTCCCTTCAGGTCATTGAGTCCCTCACCCAGTCTGTAAACCGACTGAAGCAGGAGAAGGAGCTCCAGCAGCAGCGGATCCATAATTTGGAAGGTATTGAAAAATCACTTGGCTTTGCAGTCATTCTGGGATGTTCAGAGATTTCCCTCCTCTGCCTGTTTGGGGTCCTGTTGATGAGCCAACAGGCTGTGAGTGCAGCATGTCAGCGGGGCACATTCCAGTCCCCTTCTCATAAGAATGGCCATACTGGGTCAGAGCAAAGGTCCATCTAGCCCAGTATCCTGTCTGCCGACAGTGGCCAATACACATGCCCCAGAGACAGGAAACACAATAGGTAATCATCACCTGATCCCTCTCCCTTCATCCATTTCCAGCCTCTGACAAACAGAGGCTAGGGACACCATTCCTACCCATCCTGGCTAATAGCCATTGATGGATCTAACCTCCATGAATATAGCTAGCTCTTTTTTGAACCCTGTCAAAGTCCTAGTCATCACAACATCCTCTCGCAAGGAGTACCACCGTTGACTGTGCGCTAAGTGAAGAAAAACTTTCTTTTGTTTGTTTTAAACTTGCTGCCTATTATTTTCATTTGGTGACCCCTAGTTCTTATATTGTGGAAATAAATAAATAACTTTCCTTATTCCTTTTTTCCATACCAGTCATGATTTTATAGACCTCTATCATATCCCCCCTTAGTTGCCTCTTTTCTAAGCTGAAAAGTCCCAGTCTTTTTAATCTCTCTTCATATGGGACTGGTTCTAAATCCTTAATCATTTTTGTTGCCCTTTTCTGAACCTTTTCCAATGCCAATATATCTTTTTTGAGATGCGGCAACCACATCTGTACGCAGTATACAAGATGTGGGCATACTATGGTTTTATACAGAGGCAGTAAGATATTCTCGGTCTTATTCTCTATTCCTTTTTTAATGATTCCTAATGAACATATCAAGTTCCAACCTAGGTAGAGCCCTGGTGTCCCACCTCTTAGTCCTTTGCTCCAATACTCTTACAGAGCACAACTTCTACATGGCTCATATTTGAACTCTTGGTTTATATCTCAAACATGTTCTACCCAAGAACAAGGAGGAGTCCTGTGGCACTTTTAAAGACTAATAGATTTATTTGGGCTTAAACTTTCGTGCGTAAAACCCACTTTGTCAGAAGCTTATGCCCAAATAAATCTATCGTGTGTCTACCCAGCACTGTAACTGGAAATAAGATATGCAATTTGAGCTATGCAAATTGCATATCTTATTTTGGTGCTATTTCAAAATCGCTGATTTTGTCATTTGGTGTTTACACAGCACCAAATTTCGAAATAAAACGCTATTCCGAAATGTCCCTTACTCCTCGTAGAATGAGGTTTAGAGGAACATCGGAATAGTGAGCCTGAAATAACGGGCTTGCTATGAAGACGCGGGATAGCTATTTCGGGATACTCCGGTATCCCGAAATAGCAATGCAGTGTAGACGTACCCTTAGTCTTTAAGGTGCCACAGGACTCCTTGTTGTTTTTGCAGATACAGACTAACATGGCCATCCCTAAGGACTTCTATCCAAAAGTATCAGTTCAGAATAGACTGAATTCCCCTCCTGCCCTTGGAGTGTGGTTGCAGAGTGGTGAAGGGAACATTGAGTGAGCTGGACCTTTACAGAGGATCAGCAGAGGCCCCCAATGTCCTGGGCTGTCAGTCCAGAACCTTACATAAGCAGTGAACTGACTTTTGAGACCATCATACTGTGTATTATCCATTCTCACCCTTCCCCTTTGCAGACTGAAGCTTAATCATTTTCTGCCCTTTCGCTTGCTGTTGCAGAGGAGGTTAGTCAATTGCAGAACAGCCCTCACAGTGGCTTGGAGTCCCTGCTGGGGCGGAGAATGGAAGGGATGAAGAGCGAGCTTCGTAACCTGCGACAGCAAGTGTTTCACCAGCCAGATGGAGATTGCACTCCAGATCTGTATCCCAGCACCAGCGTCATGCAGGAGATGCACGAGAGGTCAGCTCAGGGGCTTTGTGGCCATTTGGGTCATGAAATTGAGGCTGTTGCTTCCTTTCCCTGATGGTAACCCCCTCTCTCTTAATTTAGGAAAAGGCTCCTGTGGCGAGAATATGAATGTGTGAGGAGAGAGGTGGAGCAACTGAAGCACAAGCTTAGTGAGTGCAGCTCTGCATTGCTCCCGGTTGGGGTTACTTCTCTATGGACCTGAGAGATGACTGGAATGGGGAGGGAAGCAGCCTGCAATTGGGAGCTTCATGTTGTTTGTTGTAGTGGACACTTTGCTGAGGAGTGGAATAGTAGGGGGTACTGTGGTGAATCGGCAGAATTGGAGAGGACGTGTGGGAGTCTGCACTGGGGATGTAAAATCCCGATTGATCAGTTAACTGGTTAAAAGTTAGGTTAACTTAATGGTTAACTGGTTTACCAACTAAGCAGGATCCCGGGCTGGGGACTGCTGCAGCTCAGCTGGAGCAGCCCCTGCCCGTGGGGCTCCTGCTCCCAGCCCTATGCAGGGCTGGCTGCTGGCTCCCAGCCCCAGCCAACTCCCAGGCCCAGCCATCAGCCATGTGGGGCAGGCTGCTGGCTGGCAGCCTCACATGGGGGCCCAGCAGTGCTGGAGCAGCCCTCTGGCCACAGCAGGTTGTGGGTAGGATGATGCTTACTGGGTAAGCAATTAACCGGTTACTTGTTTGTATCCCCAGTCTGCAAAGGACTTGCTAGCTCAGTCAGACTCTCACCAGGGCATTGGCAGAGCTGTGGGAGGGGAGCATGCACAGGGTCTCCTCACTCTGACTTTAGCATTGTGGTTCTTTGAGAGATGAGGTCCATTCAATGAACGGTTGGTCCTTTGCAATACCTTTCTGTCACTGTTTTATAAACGTCAGTCCCATCCTATCCTTAGAGATAAGGATACTGATAATGATACTGACCTCCAACTTAAAGTGCTTTGAGAGCTACTGCTGAAAAGTGCTATGTGAGAACTGGCTGGCACTATTGTTACTGAGCCTTCCCCAAGGATGCTATGGGATGTCAGTACCTTGGCTAGGCAAAGGCCAGAAATAGTCCTGAAAATACTTGGTTCTAGAGATTATCAAACTATGTCTATCTTCAAAGCAACTGTGAAAAAATGATCCCTTCATACTCCTAAGCCACCCCTCAGTCAGATCGTCTTTGTAGTAGCTAAGTTTTAACTACTTCACTCCTAGTGGGGTGTAGAGCTGACGTAACCGGGGAAGAGGGAGCTGGATTCTATTCTGGCTCATAAATCATAAACAGGATTTCCAATTATGGGCTAAATTCTACTCTCCTTGTACTGCAGCAGTTCTGTGGAGGCATTCAGGTGTCTCGCATGAAACTGAGGGCAGAATTTGAGGTGCAGGATCTTTGGTAACTACATGAAACAGAAGGAACCTAGCTTGATTGTCAGATGCCAAACTGAGTTTTCTGCAGCAGCTCTTCTGCATTCCAGTAAGGCTAAAAGTTCCCAACCAAGATCAGATCCCCATTCTGCAAGGTGTGGTATAAACACATCCCGAGAATCAATCCCTGTTCCAAAGAGCTTGTAGTCTGACTAGACAATACACGGAGTGGGGGAAAGGAACATAACCACCTTTTTACTTATAATAAACTGAGTATGTAAAATATAGTAATTGAACAGCAATAAATGGGGAACTGTCAATGTCATTTTCACAGTCATCTGTCCGAGTAGAACTGTAGGTAAAGGGCTTTCCGATTTGTGCCCAGTATATGTCTGTGAAAGTAATAGACCTGGGCACTGTATATGATTCCCACGGAGATCTGACAGCTTTTCTCATTGTTCATGTGAGTTCCTCAGAAGACTGTTGTCCTGGCATGAGAGGGTGCCCACTGTGTTTAGACTGAACATGCATAGAGAAAAGTGAATGCTGAGATGACTATTAAAAATCAGGCACCAAATGGAAGTAGATTCTGCTAAGACTCAGCTCTGTGCCTGAAATAAATACAGTTCATTGAGTAAAGTTACATTGCTTTCCTTCTTAGACCGACAGGGGGAGGATTTATTCAATCAGATGTCTGAAACTGATGAAATGAAGAGAACTCAAAGTCGATATTGCAAGGTACATAGCTTTAAAGGTTTACCTTCTCCAGGCAAAATCATTACATGCATTTTTAAAGCATGCGATGGTTTGATAATTTGCGGAACTCACTGCTTCCAGATAATAGGAAAATTGTAAGTAAAATTCTTAAAAGGGGGATTAGGCACATGTATGAATAGCATCTGCAGTGCAAGGAGCTATAGTAGAAATGCTATGGGCTATTGACCTGTATGCTTCTGGCATATCATGATCATCAGCTGCGGGCAGAAAGACTATCTTCTCTTTGGATTGTATTGAAAAAATATCCAGGAGATTCATGGGAGTTTTATATCCTCCTCTGAAGGCTGGTGAAAAGACAATGAAATTGGTGATCTGTTTCCATATGGCAGAGCTGTTATTTCTCAGGCTTGTTGCATTAACATCATCTAAAAGGTTCATGGGTGCTACATTAATAAACATTGGGATATTACTGTGTATTCCAATGTGCTTCATATTTCACTATTTATTCTTTAGGGTAGAACCAACTCCTATTTTACCTGGAATTATGTAATTCTGTTTATAAGGAATCTTGTTAATGAAATTAAACACTGATATAGTGAGGCCCAATGTACGTATTTCCTCTTTCCTATGTATTTTAGGTGTTTATCACACAATACTGGCACACGCACAGTATTTCTAAGACACCTGTCGTGCATAGCTAGGTGTCATGTAGAAAATTACGATCAGGATGGTTATAGTCTGCAGAGGATAACTTATTTGTATTTAATATTGATATTGTAGTAATGCCATTGTGCAAGTTGCTGTACAAACAGTTAATGACCCAAAGAACTAACAAGCTAAGAAGAAAGTGATATATGAAGGGTGAAGGAGAAGGGCATACTCAAAATATACACAAGTGTTCATGTTCGCAGAAAAAAGCAAGTAGATATAGCTAAAAGTTTGATTGTCCCTATTATAACCATCAGGGCATGATTGATTTCTGGGTGTCACAGTGGAAATTGGAGGGATTTGGAACAAAAGGTGCCCTTATGGGTAACTTCAGGGAGGGCATCTCATGTGTAAGGTGTGAAGACATTTGTGGTCGAGGCTGGCAGAGCAGAGGGAGAGACGGGAAGATGCGGACCAGGTAGGGTAAGGCAGAGTTGTGAGGGACCTAAAA